AATGTTACGATTACACCATAAATGTGGTAAAAATAAATAAAACTCCAAATTAATGTGGCAAATATTTTTTAAACGCAAGTGTTGAAACGTTCACACAATAAATGCGGTGGAATGGGGAAATTAAGATTATTTTAATGCATCAAATGTGTTCATATATATTAATCCAGTGATACTGGATTGTTGACTTTCATGAGCTGTAAGCGCTAATCATCAAAATTAAAACAAAAAAACTTTTGAAATGTTTTACTTTACATGTAATGAATCTAGAATATATGAAAGTTTCACTTTGAAAGAAGTTACAAAAAAAAAAACGATCTATTTTTTTTAGATGCACCTGTATATAGCAGGGAAGTGTGTGTATGCAGACACAGCCTGTGTGTGTGTGTCTGTGAGAGAGAGAGAGTGTGTGTGTGTGTGTGTGTGTCTGTGAGAGAGTGTGTGTCTGTGAGAGTGTGTGTGTTATGTGTGTGTGTGAGAGTGTGTGTGTGTGTCTGTGAGAGAGTGTGTGTGTGTGTGTGTGAGAGAGTGTGTGTGTGTCTGTGAGAGTGTGTGTGTGTCTGTGTGAGAGAAAGAGTGTGTGTCTGTGAGAGTGTGTGTGTGTCTGTGTGAGAGAAAGAGTGTGTGTCTGTGAGAGTGTGTGTGTGTCTGTGTGAGAGAAAGAGTGTGTGTCTGTGAGAGTGTGTGTGTGTCTGTGTGAGAGAAAGAGTGTGTGTCTGTGAGAGTGTGTGTGTGTCTGTGTGAGAGAAAGAGTGTGTGTCTGTGAGAGTGTGTGTGTGTCTGTGTGAGAGAAAGAGTGTGTGTCTGTGAGAGTGTGTGTGTGTCTGTGTGAGAGAAAGAGTGTGTGTCTGTGAGAGTGTGTGTGTGTCTGTGTGAGAGAAAGAGTGTGTGTCTGTGAGAGTGTGTGTGTGTCTGTGTGAGAGAAAGAGTGTGTGTCTGTGAGAGTGTGTGTGTGTGAGAGAGAGTGTGTGTGTGTCTGTGAGAGAGTGTGTGTCTGTGAGAGTGTGTGTGTTATGTGTGTGTGTGAGAGTGTGTGTGTGTGTCTGTGAGAGAGAGTGTGTGTGTGTGTGTGTGTCTGTGAGAGTGTGTTATATGTGAGTGTGTGTGTGTGTGTCTGTGAGAGAGTGTGTGTCTGTGAGAGTGTGTGTGTTATGTGTGTGTGTGAGAGTGTGTGTGTGTGTCTGTGAGAGAGAGTGTGTGTGTGTGTGTGAGAGAGAGAGAGTGTGTGTGTGTGAGAGAGAGAGAGTGTGTGTGTGTGAGAGAGAGAGAGTGTGTGTGTGTGAGAGAGAGAGAGTGTGTGTGTGTGAGAGAGAGAGAGTGTGTGTGTGTGAGAGAGAGAGAGTGTGTGTGTGTGAGAGAGAGAGAGTGTGTGTGTGTGAGAGAGAGAGAGTGTGTGTGTGTGAGAGAGAGAGAGTGTGTGTGTGTGAGAGAGAGAGAGTGTGTGTGTGTGAGAGAGAGAGAGTGTGTGTGTGTGAGAGAGAGAGAGTGTGTGTGTGTGAGAGAGAGAGAGTGTGTGTGTGTGAGAGAGAGAGAGTGTGTGTGTGTGAGAGAGAGAGAGTGTGTGTGTGTGAGAGAGAGAGAGTGTGTGTGTGTGAGAGAGAGAGAGTGTGTGTGTGTGAGAGAGAGAGAGTGTGTGTGTGTGAGAGAGAGAGAGTGTGTGTGTGTGAGAGAGAGAGAGTGTGTGTGTGTGAGAGAGAGAGAGTGTGTGTGTGTGAGAGAGAGAGAGTGTGTGTGTGTGAGAGAGAGAGAGTGTGTGTGTGTGAGAGAGAGAGAGTGTGTGTGTGTGAGAGAGAGAGAGTGTGTGTGTGTGAGAGAGAGAGAGTGTGTGTGTGTGAGAGAGAGAGAGTGTGTGTGTGTGAGAGAGAGAGAGTGTGTGTGTGTGAGAGAGAGAGAGTGTGTGTGTGTGAGAGAGAGAGAGTGTGTGTGTGTGAGAGAGAGAGAGTGTGTGTGTGTGAGAGAGAGAGAGTGTGTGTGTGTGAGAGAGAGAGAGAGAGAGAGAGTGTGTGTGTGTGTGTGAGAGAGAGAGTGTGTGTGTGTGAGTGTATAATGAATATAAGAAATTTTTCACTTCCAGCCTTCATGAACAATAATATATAGATTATAAATGATTAAATACAAGATTAATAGTGGTTATTAAGATTGTAGTTTGGAATTGGTCAAATGTGCTTGGAAACAAATATGATCAGAATAACAACTTGCATGATAATTATGCATGCACTGTATTTGTCCTCTTCTGCTGTCGAGGTAATGCAAGGAATGTTGCGATTGGTTGTCAAGGCAGCCAATCAGAATTTAGCAGCCTGGTCTCTGATTGGCTGGAATTATGGCACATTGTAAGGCTGGGTTGTGTTGAGCACGCGAGCTGTTGGCATTTAGCGAGCACTGAGGGGGGCATCAGGTGAGCACGCTAGTGAAATATTGCACGCGCAAAAGAGAAGGTCTGCACACATCAAAAACTTATTTTAAATGCAAAATTGATTTTCATGCGCTCGATATACTTTCTTCTTTGTGAGACAAACATTTTCTCCACAAGACTCAGTTCGCACGTGTGCAAAACGCACTTTTGCGCGCTGAAAATATGATCTTTCGCGCTGGAATCTGCTGTCGGAAGCGGACCTGGAGGAAGACACGTGTTGGTCATCGAGCACTGAAATATGCAGTAACTTTCTTGGGGGGCAAAAACAGAAAAGCTTAACCTTGGAGTTTAATTTGTGATTATAAATGGCATACAGAAAACTATTTACTTGCTGTAACAAACAAAAAGACGGCTTCTTCGGAGTATGATTAACATTATCCTAAACGCAACCACTGCATTTATTCATTAACTGGTTTTCTATTTTAACATTACTCACAGATTTGCACTTGCAAGGGAAAGAGGGATCGAGCATGAAACACAGGTGTAGTCTGTTTGGTTTCTTGATTAATTTGCCGATTTAAAGGAATGTCACACGACTCACATGGATCAGTATTTCCTCAGACGTAGCTGTTCGCAGTCCACACCTGAGTGTTTTTATGACATTAATGTTATCTTGCATTTTCATGATCCGCTGTGAAGTAGAAGTAGCTCACCTCAGGAGGACCGCGCTTCTCGCGCCAGTTTAACGGTTTTCACTCTTGCTTTAGCGGGAAATGCGCAAATTCATCATAAATGCTAATTAAATATTACTGCTTAGTTTTAATTTTTGCTCTCTTTTACATAATCAAATAATCACGTATTACCGAAAGAAAATACGATAAAGTATAAAACAATATAAATGTTTTCTTTCTACTACCATGTGGGCCCTTATAAAACTCGTAAAAAACATGTAACGGTCATTACTTTGCAAGCAAAAAAGGGAAAATTATGCTTTTATTGTATGTTTATAGAAAAACGAGCAGTAGCAGCTCAAACAGTCGATCATGGTGCCAGCAACGCCACGGTCATGGGTTCGATTCCCAGGCAACCAAACGCATAAACGTCAAAGAAACTCACAGAAAGCATTCGATTGCAAGCTGGTTGTCCAATATAGGAGCGGTTTTGTAGGCTCAGTTGTCATCCAACATTTTTCCCACAACTTCAAATAATGTATAAAGGCCAGAGGATCGTTCACGGCTACTGTAGGTTTTTCAGTATAATGGCAAACAAAACATTCAATAAAGTTGCCAAGATTGGTGAAAATACCTTCAGGTTTCCCTCAAACGACTAGCTGGAAAAAATGACTCTCCTCCAATCAAGAACAGCAGCACCGAGAATATCAAATATTGGCGTTTCTAATGATTAGGGTGATCTGATCCCTGCTTCTGGTCCTGAATGTTCAGCTGCTCTGGTGTTTTACTTACTATGATTAATCTCCATTGTGGCTTTATTAGCAGTGTTCTGGTGTCAAGTATGACTAACAAACAGCATCCATTAAGTTAAATCCATTTCACTCTCACACATGTGATCCGTGCATTAGTGGAGGCCACAAACCTCCAGGCTGAGGAATCACAGAAGAACACACTGGAGGGGTCGTAGCAGGAAAGCCCTCGACTCAGACACCGAAGTCGTCCACATGAAGAAATGAGAGAAGACCAGGTACAAGTTAAGCAACTTTGTTTTATATAATCATACATAAGACCGCTTGAATATAGTACAAAGGGTTTGTCCATTACTGCCCCTCAGTGACACTTTAATTTACACAGAAAGTCCTGATCTTACAAACTATGGATAAAGATCCGAGATATCCGTCTGTCGTTCTGTTTACATCATCATCATCATCATCACATGTCCTGGAACCAAACGAGGAGTGAGAATGCGAACCGGACGGGAAGCCGAGGGGAAAGTCGGACCAGGGAGAGAGATTTCAAATCATAACGTGTGACCTGAAACGCTAGGAGTTAGTGAGCGCACACACACACGCACACACACACACACACTCACGCACTCTCTCACACACACACACACACGCACTCTCTCTCTCACACACACACTCGCACACACACACGCACTCTCTCTCTCACACACACACT